TATATATATATATATATATATAATGGCAGATATTGAGATCCTGCTAAGGCAGCAAAGGAGGGTGTCTGAGGTCATGTGTCTAAGTAAGCTCAGGTATGAATTCAGGTGGAATTGGTCTACAAATCTGGGAGCCTTAGTGGGACTGGGCTAGTGAGCCATGAGCCAGTGCTGCAGTGGCCCAGGTCCTGCTGACCAGCTTATAGTCAAGGACAAACATCCCAAAACACAAGGGCCCAGAAATGATGAGAAAGTAGCAGAAATCCTGTCCCTAACACCGGAAGAGGCTATGGTGTTGGTAAAAGCATGAGTAAAGAAACCAGGGTCACTTATAAATCCAGAGTATGTAGACTGCCAAGCTATGCCAGAAGAATTCTCATCTGGTAGATGTCAAAGGTCAGGACATTTGCCTGCAGAGAAACAGGTGAGCCGGTGTGTCGTAAAGGTTACCATGGGAGATAATTGCTCATCTGTGTGTATTGTGCAGTCATTGGCCTGCCGAAAGCTGAGTCCAAAAAGCACAATTGTTGACATTGCTGACAATGGTAAAAATGGGAATACGCTGCTGGCTCCGGTTACCATGCGAGAAAGGGGGAGACTGAGATGGTGAGCCTGTGCTGCAGTAGAAGCCAAATTATGTTTACAGACTTGGGGAGGACTGTCTGTGGAGTAACATAAAAGGGCCCTATAGCTGAGGGTCAGAGTAGCGGGTGCTGCAACAAAAAGCGAGGAGGTTGACTATTTGTTTTAGAAGAGATATGCTGTATGTTTTCTTTTAAATAAAAGTGGGCAAGGAGCCTTTAAAACATACTTTACTGTCTGGACTAGCGTTTAGGAAAAGATCTCTATTTTGAGTAAGCCCTTACAAAATACCTGTATGGTATTTATACTCTTCTTGTTATTATTTAAAGGGTTATATCCATTTGATTCTTGCTGGAACAATCTCTTCTAATGCTTGATCAGTCCCTGGATGTTCTCTTGCTTTGTGATTCCTGTTTCCTAAGTATCTTGCATTGCTTATCCCTAGTCTATTTCTTGCTGTTCCGTGCAGTTCCCTGACCCTTTTATGGCAACCTTCTGTTCCAGCATAAACTTGTTGGGTTGCTTCTGCCTCTGTGTGGTTATTCCTAGCAACCTTCAGATGTTTGGTTGCCTTCACTCTCTGGTGGCTGTCTGTTCACTTACCTGACATCCTTCTCTTCTAGTGCAAGCTGTTGGGTTGCTTCTGGATCTCTATGGTTAACCCAAGCAAACCTGTTTGTTCGTGGCCACACTCAAACGTTGGTTTGTTCATCTCAGTCCAGACTCTGTTGCTCAGTCTGTTTCCTCTGTCTCTAAGGTTCTTAAAATCCTGCGCTTTGGAATATTCCTCAACAGACTATCGATCGGAAGCTGCTGCACTTGCAGCTTCCCCTATGTCTCTCCCTGGCACCAGTTAGGGTTAGGGCAACAGTGCCTGACTCTCAGCCTCAAAACGGCAAGTCTACCAGCAAGGGCTCTGGTGAAGACCAGGCATTCTGCTTCCTAAGGGTGAGCCACTGACGCCCACCTTTTAGTCTTTCTGTAAGTATTCGTTGTCTATAAAGGCTGAATAATACTGCATCACATGTCTTAAACACAAAAACAACATTTGTATAGAGAACTGGGTCAAGCTCTTACATTTGGTGACGATGATCCTGGTGATACTGTATCTAAAATTTGATTTAGTCTTGATGACGCAGGACAGCTACTTGATGCAGAGTAATTGCGTAATTTCTTGCTGTGGTTTTTGCCCTAAGAAAAACATTACATGAACACATTTAGTCATCTGCACACAACTGTGTATTAGACTTGTTTACCGTTTATCCTAAGCAAAATACTTATATCATTCCCAGTCCTTTAATGGCAATCTAAACTCCTTTTGTTCTTAAGCAGAGGACAGATAATACTGTTGTGGTAGCACAAGTTTAAGGGTGTAAAGCTAGCCTTACAATTGTTCTGATTCAGCCTGGATGGAGGAATCTTCCCTGCCAGCTATTGCATTCTGCCAGCTGGCACCCACGGTTGTCAAAATACATGAACAGTAACTGCAGTCGATTGCAGCTTATTTGATTTTCAGATCGAAGTCTGTTGAGCCAGGACGGCGATAGCAGGGACCACATTTTAGCCAATTCAGCAAGAACGTGATCTGTGTATGGCCAGTTTAACACTAGAATTGTATCCAACTGTGAGCAAAGTTAGACTTGTACTGCAAATCCTTACATAGTTACATAGTATTTGAGGTTGAATAAAGACACAGGTCCATCAAGTTCAACTCATTGCGTGTATGCATGTGATTCTGCATGTGTATGAGTCCCTGTGTGATCTTGTTCTTAAGAATAGTGCGCTCTCGCCACCAGCGCCAGCACCACGACACAGAGCAGCAGCCGGCATCTAGCACACAGCGCCGCTGCTGCTTGCGGGCCGTCACATGACGTGGAAGTCTTCCTCCTGTCATCGGCTAGTGCTTGCGCCAGCGAGTTCCATACCCTAACCGCTCTAACTGAGAAGAAGCCCCTCTGCCCCTTGTGCTGAAATCTTTTCTCCACCAATTTTAGGTGGTGGCCTCTAGTCTTTGTTATGGAGTTTACTGTAAAAAGTTTATTGCTGATGTTGCTATCACCATTGAACATCTTGAACATCAAAATCATATCCCCCCTTAATCTCCTCACTTCCAGCCTGAACATGTTTAAATTTAGTAACCCTGTCTCATAGCTTTGGTCCTCCATCCCCATAATTAGTTTGGTTGCCCTTCTCTGGACTCTATCCAGCTGAAGGACATCCTTTCTGTGGATTGGTGACCAAAACTGGACCGAATACTCCAGATGAGGTCAAACTAGCAATCTATAAAGTGGTAAAATTATAGATTTGTCTCTACAGTAAATTGGCTTTTTAATACAAGCCAGAACTCTGCTCGCTTTGTTTGCAGCAGCCTGGCATTGCAAGTTATTATTCAATCTGTGGTCTACTATGACCCCCAGATCTTTTCCCATTTCTGACTTCCCTAGAGGAGTACCCAGTAATGTGTGTTCCGTTTGCCTATTTTAACCCCAAAGTGCATTACTTTACATTTATCGACATTAAACCTCATCTGCCATATACTGTAGTTGCCCACTCCCCTATTTTATCCAGGTCCTCCTGTAATGTTCTACTGTCTAAGTCCGTGTCCATTACCCTCCATATTTTAGTATCCTCAGCAAACACGGCTATTCACGCCCTCCCCAATATCGTAAATAAATAGGTTGAATAGTATGGGGCCTAGCCCAGAACCCTGAGGCACACCACTGAGGCAGACCAATCTGAAAAGGAGCCATTTATCACTACTCTCTGGACACGTTCCTGTAGCCAGTTCTCTATCCATGTACACAACATTTCATCTATGCCCATAGACCTCAGCTTGTGTAGTAAGCTTTACATGGTCCTGTGGTAAATCCTGACTTGTAAGGTGTTAAAGAACCTCTTAGGGGTAGTTTACACCAGATGCAGTTGTGATGCAGTAAGTTCAGTTTGGCTGCTGCATCAAAATCGCATCACAATGCTTTCCAATGGGATTCCTGCTGCTCTTTTCACACCAGTGCAGTTCGTTCTGATGCAGTCAGAAAAAATACTGCTTGTCTTATTTTAGCTGCACCTGATTGCAACAGAATGCATCAAAAATGCATGCAAACGCAGTGGATTGCACCTGAAAGACCACTTTAGGGCCAGTTCACATCAACTGCAGTGCGTTCTAGAGTGGTAGCTGCTGGAAAGCACAAACTGCACACTAAATGGGTGGATGGAGAATGGCGGTGCATTGAAGTCAATGGTACCGCAGCCAGGCCCCTAGCAGTCCCGTGCCCCCCCCCACCCCCCCAGCCGTGCGATTGGACGCATGGCAAAACATTGCCTGCGTTCTGGTCCAGTGTGACCGCAGCTGCATGCTGTATTTTTTTGCGTTCCCACTGGACTGCAATTGGAGTGAACTGGCCCTCAAGCTAAGAAAAAAAATACAAAAACACGTGGCAAAATCGCAGCAAACCGCATTGCACTGCAGCTGCGCCGACGCACGGACAATTATGGTGTGAACTAGCCCTTAGAGACAGCTGTACTTCTGCGACCCTGCTGTATCACTATTTGCTACATTTGTCTGCCCTTTAGCTTAGCCTTTGATATTGAATATAGTTGCTGACCATATTTTTGCTTGCAGTTTCTTTCAAAACTCTTTCCAAAACAAACCAAAAAATGGCTTTAGAACCTCCTTGAAGGTAAAGTTTGTGGTCTGGTATTCTTGAATCTATGTAGGTACCGTTCTGGCAGAACTGATCCAGTACTGTTAGATATTTTCATAATATGTACTGGGGGGCTTCAGATTTGATATGTTTTTAAATATCCCAAAACAAAACTGCAAATGACTCAACATGATGGAGACATCTGTTATTTGTTACTATTTAGATAATACAGTTAAAGTCAAGTCTATTTATTATGAATGTGGTCAATGAGCTATGGCACAACATTTCCATTTTTTTCTACATGATTTTGTGTCTGATGGCAATAACATCCAAATGAAGAAATAACTTGTGTCTGTGGTCCTTACCTGATAATGTGCCTGAGCTTGTTGTGCTGAATTCAGGGTGACATTACACAGCTTGCAAGAAAGAGGTTTACACAGTTCTTCCAAAGATGGATCTTGTTCCACGCTGTCATCCTTGAGGACTTCCAAGGAAGGTGGCTGAGCTGCAAGGGCTACTCGTTTTGGTGAATGAGGTTGTGTAGGGAGTACTATAGGCCTTTTGCCCACTGCAATGGCGGAAGGAAAAGCAGGTTGCTCTGGGTGAGGAGGAGGCCTGGCATGTTGCAGCACAATCATCTGCCCAGTTCTGCGCGATGGCAAAAGTGGAAAAAAAGGATGGTTCACCAAGTCCCAATGGCTCTAAAGTCCTGACGTGGCGCTTTTGGAGAAAAACAAAACATGGTGACTTCATGACAAGTAAGCCAAATATAGCCAAAGTATAGCCAAACACGCAGGAACTGTATAAATAGAATTGCTCTACAGGAATTCACACGTTACTTTTACGTTTCAGTGTTCTTTAACCATGTAGTGTTACAAGATGGTACAACACAGTCTGTAAGAGAAATCCTGTGCATGCATAGAAACCTGTGTTCAGGGTCAAAGGGAAACCTGTGCTGTCACACACGTATGTGCACACGCATGCACAACAGGTGACGCACAGAAAGTGATACTGCACTATAAGTGACATCACATTGTCACTTATAGTCACATTGGTCAGGAAGTGACAGCGGATGAGCATATACAAACTAGCATGTTTGGCTCCCTCATTGTTGATTAATTTGAGCTAGTCCTCTTCCCTGCACTTGAAGTCTTGTCCGTCTCCTGTTTCTGACCCAGCTCGCCTTGACTCTCGCTCTCTACCCGCTCTGATCCACAGCTCTAATCCCAGCTGGTGACCTGACCGCGCTTCTGGGTCCCGAATTGGTACCTCGCTGCCCGGCTGGATTGACCTTGGCTTGCGACTCTGACCCTGCTTCTGCCTGCTGTTCCTGTTACCTTGCTTAGCACCAGGTCCGTCCCAGTTTTGGCACCAGTGCTGCTCCGTGCCCACACATTATCTGTTACCACATCTAGGGGTATTGGACAAGAGACACAAGGGGCACTGTCTCCTCCATTCGGTCTCCACCAAGGTGCATGTGACACGGTCGTTCCTTCTGGAGGGTGGCTACTTTTGTTCCCCATGGTCCCTGAGTGTGCTGTAAAGTAGCCACCGCTCCAAGCTTACTCCTGTGATAGACTACAATCTCGCGTTTAGTTTACTAATTTGTATTGAGATTGTAGTCCATCACAAAAGTGAGCTTTGAACTGTGGCTACTTTACAACACACACGGGGACAAAAAAGTAGCCACCTTTCAGAAGAGAGGACGGTGCCAGCACAAATTCAGAGATGATTTACAGCTGAGTGATACACAAATAAGGTACAGTATTGTTAAAAGTTAAGGTACTTGAATGCATTTTTAAGATTTAACTCCTGCGTTTAGTGTCACTTTGTTGTGCTTAACACAACATGGATTCTGGGTACCGTATTTCTAGTGGCCTAAATCAATCTAGACAAAAGGCACACCACACATACACAGCATAGATATTTGAAAATGTGGGTTGCACTATATTATATTGAAGAAATGGTAATTGAGGGAAACTGGAACACCGTCTCCACAGCTGATCGTCATAGAGTTAGCTCACCTTTCTGTAAATTTTCCAAAAGATCCTCTTGCCAACAACTGTTGAGATGTTAATAAAGTTGTTCCTTTTCTATTGCATATATTCTATTGCAAAAACCTCTGTGATCGACTTCCCCCATCCATCCTGGCTAGAGCTGCAGCTAACGATTATTTTCAAAATCGATTCGTTAGCTGATTATTAAGTTCGATTAATCGGTTAATCGGATAAAAAATAAAATACATTTTAAAAAATGGCTCCAGTGATGGGACTTCTAGTTTGTATTGAGATTGTAGTCCATCACAGGAGCAAGCTTGGAGCGGTAGAAGTAAAAAAGAAAAAGAAAGTGTTGTGTATAATATAGTGAAATGAAAAGTGTAAAATTATACAGAAATGAATGCAGAATGGAACCGGATATAGAGGACTGCAAAAACCAGCCATAGCACATTATACAGCGCAATGCAGAATACCACCAGCTATAGAGGAATACAACAAATCCCAGCAATAGTACATTATACAGTGGTGCAATGCCGAATACCACTAGCTATAGAGGACTACAAAACCCAGCAATAGTACATTATACAGCGCAATGCAGAATACCACCAGCTATAGAGGAATACAACAAATCCCAGCAATAGTACATTATACAGTGGTGCAATGCCGAATACCACTAGCTATAGAGGACTACAAAACCCAGCAATAGTACATTATACAGCGCAATGCAGAATACCACCAGCTATATAGGAGTACAACAAATCCCAGCGAAGGGGGTTCTTATCAGTTTGCGCAGTTAGGGTCTGGAACTCGCTGCCTCAAGCAGTGATTTCCGCAAATAGTCTGGAATCATTCAAGAAGCTTTTGGACGATTTCCTGAGAGACCGTAATGTACAAGGGTACAGGTACTCTTAAGAATGAGAACACTCAGGGACCTATACACACACACACACACACACACACACACACAAACACACACACACACACACACACACACACACACACAATAGGTTGGACTTGATGGACTTATGTCTTTATTCAACCTCAAATACTATGTAACTATTATACATACAGTGTACAATGTATTGCTGGGATTTGTATTCCTCTATAGCTGATGGTACATTGCTCTGTATAATATACAGCACAATGTACCATCAGCTATAGAAGAATACAAATACCAGCAATACATTATAGAGCACCATGTGGGGGAAAGTGCAGGCTTACCTGAGCAGTCTTCCAGCAACTTGCTTCTGAGATCAGGCCTGTCTATCGGCGGCTGTCATCCGCCCACACCTGCTCCTCCTTACTTCTTCTCCCCGCGTCCCTGTGCCGATCGTGGATTTGGGCAGGCGGTGAGTGTGAGGCACGGAGGAGGTGCGGAGCGTGGATGCGGGCAGGTCTGGCAGCGGCGAGCGTGAGGTGGGGAGGAGGTGTGGCGCGCAGCGTGTGTGGAGCCGTGAACAGGGCCAACCAATCAGAAGCCGATTAATCGATTATTGAAAAAGTTGACAACTTTTTCAATAATCGATTATAATCGATTATGTCGATTAATTGTTGCAGCCCTAATCCTGGCTAAATGGAAAGACAAGCCGGGCGTTAGAAGTGCGCCCCCAGCAGCCGCTCCCGGTTTGTTCAAACTGTGCCCATGAGCAGTGTGCTCTCTCTCCCACTAATTAATACAACAAACGGCGAAAGCGCACTGACTGCTGAGTAAAAACCTTTAAAAGCGATATATATGTGCAAGGGGATTCAGTGTGCAAGCTCTAACTAAAACAGGGAGAGGAACCCTGTGAATACACAAATAAAATGACACAATGAAAGAGCGCCACTACTGTGAAGAAGACTCACGTTACCGTTGTCAGCATATCGCATGTGAGCTGGTCTTACGATGCCGGGAGTATATGCAGAGGAACAGTCTGAGATCTGTGATGGATAGTCGTTGAACAACGCGGTCTCAGCTGGCCAGGCTGAGCCGCGGTGTCAGGAGTATAAGGCGATGTCAGTGCCGGACCGTTCGGGGACCTCGGGGGTCTGTGCGAGCGGTATCTCAAAAATGTCACAAGCAAGGGAGGATGAAAGAAAAGGACAAGGACAGTGTCCAAATGACAGCGGCTACGCGTTTCGAGGCTCTGCCTCTTTTTCAAGCCTGAATGAGTGGTGCACATTTTTGAGATACCACTCGCACAGGCCCCCGAGGTCCCCGAATGGTCCGGCACTGACATCGCCTTATACTCCTGACACCGCGGCTCAGCCTGGCCAGCTGAGACCGCGTTGTTCAACGACTATCAATCACAGCTCTCAGACTGTTCCTCTGCATATACTCCCGGCATCGTAAGACCAGCTCACATGCGATATGCTGACAACGGTAACGCGAGTCTTCTTCACAGTAGTGGCGCTCTTTCATTGTGTCATTTTCTCTCTCTCCCACTAACATCTGTTGAAGGCACACATCTAACACATCGCCCATCCTGGAGGATTTTTTGGAAATTGTGCAACTGACATTTTAAGCACTGTCTGAGGGTAAATGAGACCCTAGTCATAACCCTTTATAGAAAAAAAAAGAGAAAGATGTTGGCCTGTCAGTAAGTTCAACATAAGCACACATTGCATAGACATGGCCATAGACAGGATGTGACAAAAAATTTACAAGATGGACTACACCAAGGATAAGCTTTAAAGTGCAGCTTAGCTCTTTAGTGGGAGGACCTGTCCTCTACCAACCTGCCTCCTTAGCAAAGCCTCTCCCTTCTTGCTACAAACTGGTCTTAGAAAATGTACAGGTCTTAGAAAATGTAGCCTCCTTAATAAAGGCGCATACAAGAAACGGACACAGAACGGAGGCTATATTTTCTTAAATGGGCACCCTGTCTGGTTTGTACATGTATTACTAAAACTCAACACATCCAACGTTATATGTATTTTCATGCTATATAATCCAGGAAGGTACATTTTCTTAAAATGTCACAATATTGCTATATGCAGTCAGAGCCTGTTCACATAGAAAAGTCCTACTTCTTTCAATTCCCAAATATTGAGCTTTTTAATGAGCATAACAGTTATAATGGTTACACAGAGAGTGCCCATAGCCCAGCAGAGACCACCTCTTTATCAGTCTCTTCTAGAGGTCAGCTTCATTTTAGCAAAATATATATGAAGGTCCCCTGTGCATTGAAGCTCATCTATTAATATTATATAAAATGAAATGGACTTATAAAGTCATGGGATGCCTTCAGGCACTTCAAACCAGTCCACCATTAATATACTCTGAAAATGTATAAGGAATGTCTACGTGAAACTATCCCACACTTCATGAAATTACTAATTTAATTCAACAAGTCTGCTTGACGTTCCTTAGGTACTAGAAAATAGCAGAGATTGTGTTTTGCACTGGGGAACCAATAATTATGGCGAACTGTAATCATCTACAAGGTTCTTTTACCAGTATTCATCTATGAATAAACATCTACAAGGTTCTTTTACTCATATTTAACCTTTTATGCACACAGGAGTCATGAGAAAGTTGATTTCTTATTAGCTTTCATCACACTGTGAGAAATCCAGTAACCTTCTAACCTGACACTAAAGCGTAGGTGTCAGGGATTAGACAAAGCAAGTAAAGTTACACAATGGAGAGTACACACTGGGGATGCACCGATACCAATATCGGAGTAAATAAATGCTCCGATACCTTCCACGATATCGCAACTTACG